ACACATGTTCTAGACAGATAAGAGAGAATTTAACTCCCGGCCGATCTTGTAAAAGTGTCACGTCAATATAATCACAAGCTACTGAATGTGTCAAATTTCAATATACATGCATCAAGGATCTATCCTCAATCACCTTGGACTTATGAGGCCCCTCTAGTATAGCTAGGGGTTTTGTTACGTGTTGAAATAATTATTATCCACATGGACTCTACATACCTGAAAAAAGGGCCCATTATGTGTCCATGTGTCACTAAACCAATATTTCACATCGACCTTTGAAGTATGTCAAACAAAAATACGCTTCGGCGACCAATGTTCTCCTTATCAAAGAAATGCAGACCTTTCTTCGTTGGCTAATATACAATTGGAAGACTCCTCCAAATGGAGGTGTTAAAGGCCTCAACTTGACCCCAAACATAGACGTCATTTAAGCACGAACTTTGACACAATCAAATCAATAGACTCCAATGCAATAAAATTATGCATGCAAATAATGAATTTGATGCGAACCCACATAGTAATAGTAGCCACGAAACCCACCAAATGATAGCATAATCAGTAAATTCAAGTACTGCAATATTTACCTTTTTTCCTTCGAGTAGTTGTAGCAATCAAATATCAACTGTACTTTCTTTTTCCATTCCAAGTATATCTCCGGATCACTCCTTCCTTTGAATGATGGAATTGTCATTTTGATATTGTCCATACTTCTATCAACACCATCTCCAACAAAATCTCTACCCATCCTTTCATACATAGCTCATCTATCTCTCATTCTTTCCAATTCGACATCTACCAATGCATCCTCATTAATATCACTATTCACCAGCAAAATTCACACTATGATTCCTCCTTCCTTGCCTCCTTGCGTTGGTAACTTTTCTAGGTTGTTCCCTATGTAAACTAGGAAACAATGTGTCTTGCCTATTCAATCTGTCTCTCACATTCTCAAATAACCTTTCGAATCGTCGTATCACCTCCTCCGTCATGATGACTTGACTATTCTCCCCGCTTAAAGTAGAATCTTCCCTATTAAACATCTTAAATCTAGTTTAATATTTGACTCACGTGTGTACACTCATTTATCACTCAATTGGGCATTTTCCTTATATTAGTCTCATCACTCTTGATTTTTCTACTCAATACTTTCTTGTAAGTGTTTTAAAGAATTAATTCGATCTCAATCAAAATTTAACCCTTGTGGAGTCCAAACAAAGAATTGAGAGTAAAGAAAGTGATCTAAAATGATTCAAGAAGGTAGGAAATTGAACTTTGAATGAAACGCTAAAAATAAATTCAAGAAAGTATTTCTTGAATTCGAATTGGATACTTTTGAATTTGAGAATTTTGTTATTAAAATAAATAAATTGTATGGTCCTAGTAGATTTTCCCAATTTTCATTTTTTTCTTCTTGGAAGTTCAACTAGATATCAGCAAAAGGAAAAAAATAATAATAATTTGGATGCTAAATTAGCACACAAATAAGTTTTGAAATTTTATGAATTGGAGACAAAAAAATTAAAGAACGCAAAAAACACGGAGAATGAAAAACAAAAACTCAAAGAAAAAGAAAAAATTATATAACCTTGATTTTTGAAATCTAGCTCTAATACCAATTGATGCAAACCTACGTAGTAATTAAAGCCACGGAACCCACCACAAATTAGAACAAATCCAAGAAAGCTAAGAATCAATGTTTGAAAACCCGACCCAATAAATTATTGAACCAAGACAATTGCTAACAATATCTTGATTTCGTGATCACAAAACTTTTAAATCTTACTTAAATTGTAGAATGTCACAAGAATTTAATTTTTGATAAGTTGAAAATTAATTTAATAAAGAATAAGAAGAAAACAATATGGCTTTCAATTAATCTCTCAATAAATTGTATGTCTTTACAATGAATGAAATAAGTCATATTTATAAGAAATCCATAAAACCTACTTAAAAACGGAATTAATATTCAAAATATCAAAAATTACCATAAAACTAGAGTTTTAAATAAAATAAGATTCTTTCCAAAAATTGAAAAATTCATTATTAAACTTGTACTATGTAGCCACATAGTGTTTGAACATGAGATTGCATAGTTTCAAAAAAAAAAAAAAAAACCCTCATTTGAGTCTCAGTATAGAGGTAGGTATGCAGTCATATGCCTTGGGTTACTCTCTTCAGCTTTCTCGTCCGTTACTTGAACCAAGTAGATCCATCGTCTTTCTTCTTCTAAGCCCAGCGTAAAACTTGTTCTTTTACTTGTTGTGATCCATATTTTGTCAACCGTAGCTTGAGTAAGTAGTCTTATTGCTTCTTTGACCTGCTTCGCTCGCTACCTAATTATAGGCCATTCTTCAACGATTAATAAATCATTATTCGAACTCGTCCTCGTATCTTGAATCACATCAGAATTACAAATCACAAATATCAACAACAGCATTGGAAACTGGATTTAACCATAACTTTCAATAAGATGGTGAGAAGGTGTCAACTTATAAAAATGACCAAAAAGCCCTAAAATTATCTATAAATAGGGTCATTTGCATAACTAATAGAGGTTTGAAAAATAAAAGGTGAGAATTCTAAAGATTGAAAGTGTAAAGATCAAATCTTTCACTCTCTAAAAAGCCGCCTCGAATCCAGGCAAAACTTAAGATTAGTACTCTTGAAAATATTAACATTCTTCAATTGAAATGTCTTTTCTAACTCCTTCTCTCTACCTCCCCCCTCCCCCCAACCTCACCCAAAACATGCCCTAAAATCTTTAAAGGGGCAAAATCCAACTAAAATTCTGATAGGAACCTTGATAGTTGACATTAAAAATTATTTTCTTATTTTTGAGGTCTACATTATGACAGCATCCGTGGGAATACTTACAAAATCACAAGAAAAACCCCATACGAGGAACACAAAATGTCAAACGGCATGAGTGGAAGTGGATCGAGTAACGATGAACGCCCAATGAGCGGGAATTAAGGTCCCACTATTCCGAAGAAATCATCAGAGACGAAGGAGCAAGAATAAGATTGCTAAGGATAATGCGCCCATATGACAATTCATTAAGCAACATGGCCCCATCTCTTCAAGAGGATGAAAGCGAGAGTAGGACTAAAGGCTCTGCCCTAGGTGAGCAACTCGTCTATTGACCTGCCACGCATGGAGAGACAATCATCCCATCGTGAACAAGAGCGGAGATCTTCGAGCTTTATCAAATTGTTTAGAGGGCAATGACGTGACGTGTCTTTAAATAAAGTGATAGTGAATAAACATGTTGAACATCTATTTTCTTTCAAAATTTAATGTGTAACTATGCTAATAAAAACGAGATTATTCTCAAATAACTTTACACATGCTCTTAAATTAATGAATTGACACAAAAATATTGAATATGATTTTATTTCAATCAATGAGACATTCGTTACGCACAAAAAAATAGAACATATATTTCAGCCAATGAGTCATTTAATAACAACGTTTGAGGTCTTTGACTTCATCATTCATGTTTTGAATTGTCATCAAGAAGTTATTACGGTCACCTCCTCGTTTTCGCTGAAAGAGTTCGATTAAATTTAACCGGTATGACAAGATATATTTGCAATGGAAATTTTAAAAAGCTTACTGACCAAAGTGATATTTTTAAAGAGATTAAATTTTTTAGAGCATATCCTCATTTTTATACAAAATAAAATTTGACAAATGAAAACTCAATTTAATAATCTATCTAAATACTAACTCAAATGTGGGTCCCAATAACATTACTAATAACATTAATGTTATATTTTCTTAATTTTAAGTAAAAAAAAAATTACTTTTTAGAATTTTTCTTGTTAAAATAAATATCATATTTAATTTCAACTTTAAATCACAAAAACAAAAAATATAATAAATTATTTATTTAGCCAAACAAGCTCTTAGGATCTTGGCACTCTTTAAAAAAAGAAAAAAAAAGAGGTCCTACCGGGAGTCGAACCCAGGTCGCTGGATTCAAAGTCCAGAGTGCTAACCACTACACCATAGAACCCCGTTGTGTTCTGTTATCTTATTAATATATCACTATTCTTTCAGAAAGAACAATTGGACCGCAAACAAAAAATAAAAATATATAGCCAATACTCAAAAAACACTGACTTATTTAATCACAAAGAATAGCAAGGTGGAAATTCTCAACTTATCTGGACACACAATTTGTGGATCCTCAATTTATAAGTTAGTACATTTTTTTTCAAACGTGTTTTTAAAGCAAGTTCGTGGTGACTTATCTTAAAAATAAACTCATGTAAGGTTTATATTGATTTATTTTGAGTGTAGGTGGGTCCACATTAAAAATAAGTTACACATTAATGACTTATGTCTAAGATTATACACACCCCAAACATGCGACTAAACGTGATGTTATGTGTGCCTCCACTCATCAATTTAATTTATCACTTTATTTGAATAGGAGTTTGTATGAGAGTGAATAAAATCAGATTAAAATTGAAAATATAGCCGTTATTATTGACTTTTATTAGACAATTGGGACCCAATAACAGCTATATTTTCAATTTTAATTTGATTAAAAGCTCTCTCAAACAAGGCCTAGGTATTGAAAGGTTTTCTTACATCTGTCTTTTATATCCAATTTTTTTTTTTTTTTTAAATGAGACTCCGAGGATCTAATGAAAATATTGAACCTTTTATGGTGGTGAATTCATAAAATACCAAAAAAAAAAAACAACCACGATTGAGCATATCAGTGTACACCATAAATGTGGCTTGTAATTGGAAGGAATGGTCACAATAATAAGATAACGTGGCAAACCGCAATATATATTGGATACAAATTCACGTTGTCCAAGTTAGTTAAGGATTGTTATTTTCACAATTGAGATCACGTGTTCAGGGGGATTAGTACATCCCTCCCCCCTCCTCTCATATATTATATATCGGATGAAATAAAACTTGCCCAAAAAAATAAAAATAAAAATGAAAGACAAAAACACATAATTTTGCACCAATTTAACTCATCCTAACTTCCATTTCCCCCTCAACATTTCAATTAATTCTCCCAAAGCTTTCTCAGAACTCCCACCATTTTCACAAGCCATTTTTGCTTCTCTCATCACTGTTTGAGCCTTAAACCTTATATTCAAATCTCCCATAATTTCCTTCAACATTTCACTTATATTCTCCCCTGCAACCAATTTTTCCCCTCCCCAGCCCCACTCCTTAACCCAAACCCCCAATCCTGCCTTCTCTACAACTTCTGCATTCATCTTTTGGTCACCATGTTGTGGCCATGCCAGCATCGGTACGCCATGGCGAGCTGCATCCATTACAGATTCCCAGTCACATTCGTTCACAAACGCTCCTATGGCGTGATGTGCTAGAACGTTTTGCGCGCTCTTCAATCCTTTCATTACTTTACTCTCATTCTTGGTCATGATCAAGAAAGAATCGTGCGAAAATTCTCGAATCCATAGAAATGGATGCCCACAAATTTGCAGCCCATTCTCGAGTTCTTTAATTTGATCTTTCGACATGGATTCTCTGCTTCCGAAATTGACATAAACGACTGATTCTGCAGATTGATCGTGCAACCACGAAAAAAGATGATCTTTCTCGAGAAGATCATGGGATTCTATCGGTCCAACTGGAAAAATAGGTGGGAGATTATCGAGTACTCTGCCACTCTTAAGAGATGTGATTGTTTCTAGTTCAAACCAATCAAAAGTGTTCAAAAGGACACCCTTTACTTTTGGAAGGGATTGAGCATTTGGTAATAGGTAAACTGCTAACAGATAATTTGAGGGCGAATCTGCCAGCCATGTAGGAGGAATGTTTTCGTTTGACACGGGATCCAGCCCTGGGATTCTTATATTCCCCGATGAATTACTAAATTTAGAAGAATCTTTTGACAACAAGATGGGGAGGTATGCAACGGTGGAAAAAAATCGTGCTGATGTGGTCGAGAGGATGTAGAGAGGGATGTCGAGATCAGTAGTCAGTTGAGTAAGCGTAGCTGTTATGACAAAGTCGGAAAATATTGAAGAAATTGGCGGTAGTAGAGACGAGAGGGTAGGACCGATTAAGGGCAGCGAGCGATTGATGCCTTCATATCGCATAATGAAAGGATCACTAGTAGTAGTTGAATTGGAAGCGTTCAATGAACGAATATCAAAATCAAGGCGATTGATTTCTTGGTGGTCGTTGAAGAAAGTAGTTAACGGACTGAACTCGGGAGAAGGATCTTGAGATTGAAGGTTGATAAAGGTAACGATAGAGTTACGTGATGCGAGCATGACGGCGAGTCGGAAAAAATGGTTGAACGGTCCAAGGCCGCTCGGAACAAGAACTATGTGAGGGGGTTGAGAAGGGAAGCTCATGTGAGTATCAGATAGTCAATGAAAGAGTGGTGAGTATGATTTCAAATTCAAATCTCATCACCATCCATTTATCAAAATTATGCATGGTGACACTATAGGGACATACTAAAGACAATATTTAAATTCATAAATGTTTTGTCTCTAAGGTGTTACATTTTAAATGATATAATTTAGCAATCATTGTGCCATGAAATTATTAAGTCTTAATATTTTATAAGAAACATTATTGGGCAAACAATTATTTTTCAAAGAAAAACGCTATCCATTCCTGTCAAGAGTTAATCTATTTATTTGTTCTGTAGTTGCTTGGTGTTGTAAAGGAATCAAATTTAGCATTTCACCTATAAAACTATATTTGACTCGGTTGTCCAAAATAATTTTTTTCTTATTAACTATACTTTTATAATAATTCAACCCCGATTGAAATAGAGTGAAAGTACAATTATCGCCAAGTATATAAAAAACTTTTTCTATCAATTCCAATCTGTTTCAGAAGGAAATTTAATATTTCCATATTGGTAAGGTATGTTGTCATGTTGTTCGAGTGTGATTATACGCACGAGCTTGGCTCGTGGGCCGAGCCGAGCTTCGGCTCACGAGCTCGATTTTTAAAATTTTTTTTGATTATAGAATGATGATAATGATTTTTTAATTTTTTTTACGAGCCACGAGCCGAGCCGACTCGTGGCTCGCAAAAAACACGAGCTGACGAGCCGCTCGGCTCGATTGTCACTTCTAATTATAAATATGATGAATGATTAACGTTATATGAATTAAACATTGTTTTTAGTAAAGAATCATTCATTTGTAAGTTTATATCATAGTATTGTCCCGTGGAATTAGTCGAGGTGCGCGCAAGCTGGTCCGGATATCCACGGTTATCAAAAAAAAAGTTTATATCATAGTATTGCAACTTTTGCACTGATCTCTATAAAATTAGAAACTTAACCAATTGATTCCATATCATGTTCAATGAAGAATATTAGATAAATTAACCTAAAGAATATTAATTTTCATTTTGGAAATTAGGGCAGGAGACTTTTGTCTAGAATAATAAAGAGAAAAATGAAGCTTTGGAAGAGAAGTTTTGCAGAAAACTTTGTTGCCTGGCAAAAAAATGTGGAGTTTCTTACTTTCCATGAGGATTAGATCGAATAATCGAGGAAGAGTGTATATCTGAGTGACATTTCACACTATTATTTGGCTATTACAACTATATTTTACGTACATGTTATCAACGGGGACATTAGCCATGGCTTAAAAGATATAGAATCTCGTAAATTCTTTTATATGTTACTGTCTAGTACAATCTTATATCGTGTACAAAATATACTTTCACTATTTTGATTTTTACGTTAATACTAGACTCCACAAAGTGTATCACGTGTTACCAACAATTGCTTTGACTTCAAAGAGAGAGACTTCATTTCAACTTATGCCGGTGCATTTTTACAACCCATAAGAATATACATGCAAGTATAGTTTGATCGATTGCATTCCAACTTTACCGTTTTCTCTCTTTTTTATCTTATAAAATATTCAATAGAGACCTCTCTAACTAACCCCAAATGAGCCACACCAAATATCTAGGCCTATAAAATAAGAGAATATAAGCATCGAGACAATATTGACAAAATCAATGAAGTTAAGTTAGGACTAGGCTTGAAAACCACAGCCCGAAAAATCGACTCGACCTGACACGAAACTGGTCAGTTTAGGGATAAATTCGAGTTGGGTCGGGTAAAATAAATTTAAAATAATTGTGGGTCGGGCCAGTCATTGAAAACCACAGCCCGAAAAATCGACTCGACCTGACACGAAACTGGTCACTTTAGGGATAAATTCGGGTTGGGTCGGGTAAAATAAATTTAAAATAATTGTGAGTCGGGTCAGCCTCACAAACCGACCAGACCCACTGAAACCCAAATATCCCCAACGCTAATTCCTCAAACCCTAGCTCCACGCTCATGGGAGACCCACTGTGGCCGCTGCCTCTACTTGCACCACCACCACTAACTGCCACAAAACCAATCAATTCCCACCACAAAACGAATCACCCCAAAAACCATCATCACAAACTACTACTGCCATCATCACTTCCTCAACTCGCAGGAAACTATAAAAACTCATATCCAGTTTTTGATTTGAAAAAAAATTGTAATCGAAGATGGATGCTATTAGTGGTGATAACAAGTGGTTGCAGAGAAGATTGTATAGTAATGGTCGTGGGTTTGTGATTTTTTAAGGGTTTGAATCCGACTACGAAGGAGAAGATCCGACTCGTGGTGTTGTAGGTTTTTCATTTTGACACTTATTTCTTCTCCTTCTTGTCGCCGTCATTTTTCCGGTCTCAGGGGAGTTGCCGGTTCAAACCGTCGGGTTTTTCATCCTAAACCATTGTTGTAACTGAGAAATGAAAACCTTGAAATTTGGCTTTTGGGGAATATTTGAGAGAGGTCAAGAAAGCAAAGCAATTTATTGTTGTAACAAAACCAACTGGACCTGACCTGATTTAGGTTGGGTTGGTTTAGCATAGGAGTCGGGTCGGGCCAATTTGTAAAAAAGTCCAAAACCAGAAAGGTCGGGTCGGGTCGATTTTGAGCCAAACCCGGCCCGACCCATTGCCCACCCCTAACGATAGTGATACAATGAAAACTAAATGGTTCTTCGACAAAGTAGCATGTATCCTTTTCATGACGATTTCTACATTCATAATAAAATGACACTGCACTCGATTTCGACTTAACAACTATTTATTCAAATTTCGACCAACAAGTTTGGCCTAGTTTGCACTTAATTCACAAAGCATAGTTTTTATGTTAATATTTATCAATGTCATGTCAAATATATTTTTTTAATAATTATGCTACGTAGAAAATTTACTAAAGTCAAGTCAAATGTATTTTTCCATTACCATGTATATTTGAGGTTGTCACTATTTTATTATAAATTTATAATTCCTTTTTAAATATTTTTTTTTTGTCTCAAAATATGCAGTTTGTATGTAATTATCATTATAATGAGAGTTATTTTTCTCTCATGAACATATTATATATATAGTTTTTATATGCAAATAATAAAATAATTCAGACACTCAAGAGTAATTAATTTTGTCATAAGGTCTAAATTTTGCAGCCAATATTTCAAATTGTCTGAATATCGTAAAACCATCAAAATTTTAATATAATAATAATAATAATAATAATAATAATAATAATAATAATAATAATAATAATAATTTTATAAAATTATATATAAACAAACCAAGCTTACCTGCATCCACCACAACTATAATCACTCATCTCAC